GGGCTGGAGCCTAGAACCTCCATGGCGAGCCAGGGGTGCTGAGGTGGTCGGGGAGCTCGAGTTCGTCGAGCTCTTCGGAGGACGACGGATTGGGGGGAAGGAGGAAGAAGAAGGGGTTGAAGGATAAGATTAAGGAGAAGTTGCCGGGAGGACATAAGAATGAGCAGAAGCATGAGAAGAAGGGTATAATTGAGAAGATTAAGGAGAAGCTACCTGGGAGTCATAGCCATTGAGCCTGTGTGGAATGGGAAAAAATTTGCGTACATAAGACATAAGCAGCTCTGCGTACGTCTTTAACTTGTAAACATGTTACAGGGAGAATTTGAGGAGGTTATAACAGCGTTATACCTCCTGTAACCTACCTGTATATGAAAATAGAAATGCGAAACTTACTAGAAGGTACAGGTAGGTTGCAGGGAGATTACAGTGGGTATAACGCAATTATACCCTCCTAAAATCCTCCCTGTAACATGTTTGCAGGTTACAGACGTACGCAGCTCTACGTGCGTCTTATGTACGCAATTTTTTTCCGTGAGTGTGTGAAATGTGGCAGTCGTTGGAGTGACTGTGCGTTTGTTCTTGTTTTTTTGGGTTTTGCTTGTGTTAGTTTATTATCTATTTTGGGTTTTGCTTGTGAAAGAGAGGAGAACTCTTTAACCTTGCAGACAAAGATAGATCCCTAGGCAACCCCATTCATCACCACACCAGTGGCATTGGAGAGCACGGAGGCCAGAAGCTTCATGATGAGCACGGCAACCCCATCTCCGGCCACGGTAACGTTGGCTACGTTGATCACCACCACACCGGTGGAATCGTCGAACACGGGGCTGGAGGCTAGAACCTCCATGGCGAGCCAGGGGTGCTGAGGTGGTCGGGGAGCTCGAGTTCGTCGAGCTCTTCGGAGGACGACGGATTGGGGGGAAGGAGGAAGAAGAAGGGGTTGAAGGATAAGATTAAGGAGAAGTTGCCGGGAGGACATAAGAATGAGCAGAAGCATGAGAAGAAGGGTATAATTGAGAAGACTAAGGAGAAGCTACGTGGGAGTCATAGCCACTGAGGCTGTGTGGAATGGGAAAAAAATTACGTACATAAGACATAAGAAGTACGCAGCTCGCGTACGTCTGTAAGGGAGGATTTTAATATATATATGAAAACAGAAACACGAAACTTACTAGAAGGTACATATAGGTTTCATGGAGGTTACAGTGGGTATAAAGCGGTTATACCCTCCTAAAATTCTCCCGGTAACACGTTTGCAGGTTACAGACGTACGCAGCTCTGCGTACGTCTTATGTACACAATTTTTTTCGGTGTGAAATGTGGCAGTCGTTTGAGTGATTGTGCTTTTGTTCTTGTTTTTTTGGGTTTTGCTTGTATTAGTTTATTATCTATTTTGGGTTTTGCTTGTGGTAGTTTATATATATATCTATTATTTTAAGAAATAACTGTTGAGTGAAGAAGTAAAGGCTTGAAACTATAACCTTAATTATATGGGTGAGTGGACAAATCACTAGGTTAAGGCTTTATTTAATATTTTACTCATACATTTAAACTAAGGCATCACAGTGCATGCAACCTAAAGCTCATATAGTTAAACATAGGAACCTCAATGCTTACAGAGACATTGACAAACACATCTACATAAAAAAGCATAAGGCTATGCAGCACTTCTGTTTTTAATTCTTTATTTTTTTATCTAAATTTATAAAAGACAATGAAATGGAAAGAAAGCCTCAAACTATTATTATGCATTGAAACATGAACATAAGAGTTGTGGATAACTTTGATCTCACAGTCAAATAAGCTTTCATATCAATTACAATCATTTAGTAGTAGAAAGCTAATTTATTTATTACACATATTTATTAGCAGCTTCCATAGAAGCACATAGATATTTGTTACCCAAAGGCTATATAGATTTAGAAATAGCAGCTTAATCTTTCACCTTCTCCATTTGAATAGGTTCAACTAGCACTGCATTTATGCTCTGTTTCATATTGTGATCTGATGAATTTGTATATCGGTCATTTCCAAGGTAAATAAACTCATTAAATCGGGCAAGATTAACGATAGGCCAAACCAACGACAATGGCAAGTTGCTCAGCTCAACAAATTCTTTATTGATGCTTTTCCAAGCATTATTTGACATCTCCGTTAGCTTGTTGCATGCTTCTTCTTCAGAGCATCCATGTTCCATGGCATAACTTTGAACAGCTGAAGCAACATGAGTTCTCTTTCGTTCATGCTGAAATAAAATTTCATAATAACGATATTTGTCATCAAAATTTACTTAAAAATGTAAATAAAAGATACAAAATTTTATTACCTCAAAAGAGACAATGTCATTCATTAGCCTTCCAATTACACAGGACGACATGACGATCTCGGGTAGGCTAATAACCCAATCAAACACCTCTTTAGAAATAGCCTCCTTCATGCCCATATAAGAGGCACATGTGAGAAATGAGTAACCAGCCGTAAGAAGTGAGGCACCAAAATGTTCCTCAAGCTTAGGCACATAGCACTTATTTGCCCATATTGCTTCTTGAAGATATGCTTTTGATACTTTCTTCAACTGTATTTTAAAATTAAAAAAAAAAAAAAAACTTGTATAAAGAACATAGAAAAAATATATTTTTTATATCAATCTTCAATATTAACTTTAAAATAAATTTATCTCATCTAAACTTCATCATATTTTCTTTCTAAAGTTTGAAGCTAATAATATTGGGATTGCACATCAATTTTATAGGCTACCTCATATATAAGATATTGCACGCGGAATGAACTTTGCTCGGGGGCTAACTCAATTTCTATTTCTTTGAAAGTTTCAAATAAGGAACGAAAGCTATGTTGCATATATTCTGGTAATTTGTCTATAAGTTTAATATCCCATCTGCAATGATGAAAAAAAACATGTGATCATCAATAATTTTGTATGCTATGAAATATACACACATTTGTCTATCAACATTTTTAAATCATTGGGTAGGATCCCAAAATTTATAGATGTTAAAAAGACTTTAGATGTTGTGTAGCTTGTGCAATTTGGGTCGGTGAATCATGTTACCCTTCTATTGCATCAGTGAGCAAATGAAGCTCCTCCACCGTTCCATAAACATCATATATATCATCAAGAAATGACATTTGTGTTATGCACTTTGTCATTATTATTCTGGCACGTGAATAATATGGCTCAAAATACACTGAAAGCACCCAAAAGTAGCATTCCACTAATCGATCCCGGGAGAATGGCAGCCTCTTTGACAAACCTAGGTTTTTCCACCACCTGGATTGAAATTATATGTTAAGAATCTATAGCATACATTTAGTCAGCTTTGTTCCCCCTTACATATGCATTTCCCTTGTGTGCAGACATAATGAAAAAGTAAATGTATTTTTATTCTTAAGGGATGGAAATACAAGCACAGTTTTGTTTGATCTAAAAAAATAACCTTTAGTCATACATTTATATTAGAAGTCAATTGATAAAAGAAACATTCATGACTTAAATGACATGTCTAATTTTATATTCTGAAAGATGGACATATAGTTCTTAACAAACTTACATTGATAATTTGCGTGCCTCCTCTTGATGCATTGCTTGCAAACAGATGAAATCAAATTTTCCAAATTCCAAAAGAGCTTCATTGAATTTTGTATCTTGCTCATAAATTGACAAGTAGTTTCTAGTCTTAATCCTATCTGTTCTTTTGAAAAGTGGTATTTCTAATGAACTTGATACCATTAAAGAAAAATGTGGCTCCAACTGACTTTTCATTGATATGAGATGAGTCTTAGAAAAATTAATAGCTTTGTCAAGTATCTCTTCTGTTGCCATTCCAAGATGTGCAGCATCATATAAGCTCAACAAAGCCTTAGCATCAGAGCTAAAGCAATCCTTAAAGTCTCCCTTCTCATCCAGAAACTTACTAAAGACATCTGTGGCAATGGATGAATGATAAATACATGTTTACTCTTTATTTTCGAAGCAAGCAACTCACCATTTGTAAAATTAACACAACTAGTGCATTCAATTGCACAAGTTCTATTTAAATAAAAGAATAAAATAAACATAAATGCAGTCAAATTTAAAACATAACTAATGAACATTGTAATGGCTGACTAGTCTATGTAAAAGTATAAATATAATTGAAATTTCTGAAATAACGACTTACCTGAAGAAATGTGATATCTTTGCTGTCTTAACAATCTAAAACGGAGAGCAACTGTATATAAATCATTCTCATCATAAGCAGTATTGAACAAATGACATAATGCCTCATTTATTTCCTTTTCAAAGTGATACCCAATTCCAAGACGTTGGATTGCATCAATCAACTCCATCATTTGTAGAGAGCCTTTTGTGTTGTTGAACATTTGAGTTATCTCAACTTTGAGCTCATCCATCCTTGGTTTTAGCGACGCCTTCCATGATTATGTGAGTAAAAAAGCATCATGTTTATTGGTATAACATTTAAAATATTAAAAAATTTCCATTGCATAAAAAAAAAATATTAGAAATTATCTATCTTATTTTTAAAAATCATTCATCATTTAAGAAGGGAAATGTGAAGCGAGTTACTCCCAATTTGCATAGATTATATATAAAGAACTACTTCTTACGGTAAATAAATAGAATACGTTTAGGTAAAAACTTTAAGATATAACATTAGTCATAAAAATCAAATTTTATTTTGACAATAAAAGTTTAGAATTTCCAAAATTGGTCAGTACTTATAGAGTACCTAGCAAAAGTTCTAACAAAAAGATAGAATATCTAAATAAGAAAATAATGAAAGATTAAAGTTAGATTTTATATGATAATCCTTGCAAGTTTATAAATAATGTTGAAATGATTTGTCGGAAAAATATATTTGATGAGAAAGTATGCATTTTAAAATTTAATTTATTTTCTTAATTGTGAGTAATATGATTAAGCCAATAAATTTTGGGTTTGGTTTTGAGTTAAAGTCTTAACAAATATAACTTTTCTTATTTATAATGTAAGAGTATACAGTTTTTTTTGCATGTATCATGTCTAATGACAGAAATTTTTATCAATTACTTCTGGATAATTATGTTAAGAAAGAAAGGTAATTCAAATAACTATAGCTAAATTTAATATTTCTTCTATTGTATCATTAGCATTCTCGCAATAGAAATTATGGAAAAACAAATAATTAAAGGAATAAAATGTAATAAAAATAATTTTATAAAGACTGAGAGGAACCATGTAATGAAAATATTGATTGATTTTTTGTTTATCATATGGCTAGAAATAAAATATTTACATAAAAAGCTACTTAAATTACTTTATTTATCATCATTCAAAGTTGAATATATTATAAATGTTGGCAAAAAAACTAGCGAAATTTGGTCTAATTTTGATTATTTTTTATGTTCTAATCTTATGGTAGCAATCTAAATAATTTGCAAGCATTCATATAAATGTATAAATAAAAAAGAGAAAAAAAAAAGCAAAATTAAAAAAAAATGATATCACAAAATTTTAATTTAAATTCTTAATTCAAATTATCAAATGGCTTTGAAGTGTCTTGATTTAAAATACTATATAGTAAATTGATGATTATATCACTTATAATAATAAATTATTATTGAGTCATTAAAACTCATATTTGAACTCTTTGAGCTTCGGAAACTGAAACTTTTCTTCCTAATCAATATTATATATATATATATAAAGAAAATCCATATTTGGCAGAGGCCCAAATATCGATTTTTCATGTGTTTTTTAGCCCCATGATGAGAGTAAGCGACATGTGTCTAAAATTTCAAAGCCCCGCACCACGGTAGGATCAAACCATTGACCTGAGGGGACTTACAGTGACCCCACCACCAACAGGCCAAGACTTGCGGCGTGTATATATATATACCAATTCATTGGCTGAAATAGGATTATAAGAAAGGAAGTAATCTCCCCAAACACTAGGGTGATAATCTCCACTCTTGCGAACAGAATCAAAAGAGAGTGGAAAAGCTTTGAGAGTCTCCATTTTTTAGCACGTAGAAGCAATGAAAAAAAGTTGCAGAAGTTGTGCTGAATATATGCTTCGTTAGGTGGTATTTATAGTTGCAGGCCTCCCCATGCAATCTTTAATGTTTTGTTGTTGCATTTGCATAAAATATATGAGACAAAATACATCTTGTTCATGCTTCCCAGAGTATATTCTCCTGCCTTCTAATCTTTTTTGTTATTTATTTGTTTGCTATTGTAATAAGTTTGCATCTTTGGAAAGATTTGAAAAGACTATGGATTACAGTCATTTATCTTAATTTTTAACATAAGAAATTCCTTAAAATGTTCATTAGATTTAATTTTAATAATCATGGTGTTAGGTGTAGAACCACTAAATGAACTATTTCTAATAGTTTATTTTCAGTGGCATTTGATCGCCAGTCAAATTTGGCAAATTGTAACGCTTTTGAACAAAAAAAAAAAACTATTTTTTTATTACTTTGTGAAATTTTAGTTTAATTAGGGCTCGTTTGGGGCAATTTATTTAGTGAGATGACATTTTGAAAACACACCTAATCTGTTTGAGTAAACTGCGTTTTGACAGTTTATGCGTTTTGAAAACACTGAAAATAGTATTTTCACACCGCACCTATCTTAGTGCAGTGACAACTTTCTGGTAGCGGTCTGACTTTTTAAAAAAAATAAAAAATTTATAATAGCTACCACACCTAGCTTATAAACATATTATTTTTAATCAGCATATCAACAAATCATTCAATAAACTGTAACTGCCCAAACATACCCTAAATCTCATGCGTCATAGTATATTTATCATAGAAATTATCATATATATATA